TGCAAAATGATTTGAATTTGTGACCAGTAAAACATGAAGCTTGACGAACCTTGATTGTTTTTGAATTTCCCTGGAAATGAAAACAATCGCTCAGAAAATCATCCACCGTTTTCGATCAATTCTATACAAAAACCAATTATCTAGAGGAGCCTGATTTGAATCCAATAAACTCGAAAAGTCCAAACCAATTTTCCAGTTTGCAAAAGATAATCCCGGTAAATGGTAGGTTTGCTTTAAGATGATAAAAGTTTGACTTTTTTGTTTTCTTTGATGTAATCTGAGCAGTTTTTTTCCATGAAAATAACTCATTTTTTGATATGTGGTTACCACCCATAATCCAAAAAAACCACATTTGGATTACCACCCATAATCCAAATGTGGTTACCACCCATATACCGAGCTCTCCCAGATTGGCTTTGGGAAGCTTTTTGAGGGCAGCGGTCTTAGGAATTTGAGGTACGAAAAATTACTCTAAATGTATAACAACCCATTGGAGGTTTGTAGAATTGTTGAAAGTAGATGCTGCCTTTGTTGGCTTAAAGCTCCCGATTCTCGTCCAGTTTCTTGACAAGAGGTTTAAGATATTATCTCCACCAGTCAGAAATGCAACTGTTTCGTTGTTGAAAAAACGTTTAGTTCTAGTGGACTACTGACAAATTGTTAGTTTCAAAATATTACTTGGTTACAGCCAATTGTTCTGGGGTCAAGTTTTCATCGGTGAAAATTACAGTGATGACGGAAGAAGCAATGGTAATTACAAGTCCATTAATTACAATTATACTATTTATAATGTAAAATTCTTTTGGAGATTTTATAGAATTTGAATGTATAAGTCATAAAATTTTAGATGTCAATTTTAAATTGAAAACAAGACTGCTCGTATCAGGGCGAGGCCCTGAATGTTCCGGTTGCCTTTTAAGGTTTACGGAGCAATAATAACATTAAAAAATTAAATGAAATAAAACAAAAAGAAATTTTTTTTTTCTAAATTTTGAAATTTTTGATGAAAATTATCCCCCCACACGCCATATAAAGTAAAAAATGATAAATTTCGCTTCTAGTAACGAATCAATTATGGCAAATAAGCTTCTTTTAAGCAACTTGGAACAATTTCTAAGACGGATTAACTCTCCGCTTACGCGTTAATAGCGCGAAATATATCGCGCGTTAATTGTCCCAAATTGGCCAAAATGGCAATCTTTAAACCCCCGAAACTTTACGAAAAATGATCACATGTGAAAACACAACAGTACCTTTCGAATGATATAAAAAATTCCGTCAAAACTGGCTAGTTAAAAAGTCGAAATTTGTCTGAAGAAAAAAAACCCACCCCGAGCACAAATATTCCGTTACTTTCGTATCGAAAGTCGGAACAATAAATGAATAAATTATTTTTGAAGCACTCAACGCCGAATATCTAGGGGTAAAAAGTACGAACAGTAACAGTTAAAATTGCAAGTTTTAACTTCGTTTCGAGCGGTTACATAGCAGTATTTAGACAACCGCGTATTCAGACTCGTCAGTACTTAGACAAATACTGTTTCAACCAATCAGAATCGAGAAAAAGAAGAAATTAATAAATAATTATAATTTATTTTGGATTATGTATGTCTTTTCTCGATTCTGATTGGTTCATACAGTATTTGGCTAAATACTGACGAGTATGAATACGGGGTTGTCTAAATACAGGCTGCACTCCGTTTCGAGCAAACTAATTATGAAACAGATGCTACGGTCTTCTCATTTATTATTCCGCCATTTGATTTGTGAATTTTTGAACAGTAAGAATGATGCGTGGAATTTTATTTGCTTTTTTATCCATTGGAGTTATAATTGATTTAGTCCTAAAAACTGTGGCTGGTACGAACTCATCATATTGTTTTTAGGAATGAATCAGTTCTTTGTAGAATTTCTGATATCAAATCTGTAGAATCTATGTATGTTTCGGTTTAGTGTTTAACAGTAAAGTTACAAGGTAAAAACCATCTTGTTGAGCGACTACAGCTCATTAGTTTAATATTTCGTTTAATGAGGTTGTAGAAGTCAATTGTTCTTCAGTCACTTCCATGAATTTGTCAAATGCAAGCACTTCAATATTGGGGAAGCAACGGTTTTTTCTAGTGAAATGTTTTTCGCCAGAATTTGCATTTGGGGTCAGGCTGACAACTTCTCGATTCTATTTTTTCAAAAGAGATTGTGTGTTCATTTGACCAATTATTTGTTGATTTCTTGTTTGCTGGTCATAAGGATTTTCCTTAGGATGCCAAGTTAGGAAAAAGATTTTTGAATTGATTGGTCGACACGAGGAACAAACGGAGTTTGCTTAGGTTCCGACACATCATAATGGAGTTTGTTTTTGGCATTTATACCTTCCAAAAGGATGGCTCTTGATTCAGTGTTTTTGAAACCCAATTATTCAATTTCTTCCAAATTTTTACAATTTGGCTTCCTTACTGCGAAAATTTTTTGTTCAAGAGTCGATGAAATTGTTTCTTCAATTCCTCTGTAGTCACTAGGACGGCCTTTGAAACCACATAAAATATTGCCAAGATAGTTTCAGTGAAAGAGAAATTTCTGTGGTTGAGTCTATCACTCTTTGAAAATTGTTACACATGCCAGCTAGCCTGTGAAGACCGGTTGAATTTCTTATATGCCTGTTATTTTTCCGCCATACTAAAATTGCCTTGCGTGCTGGTCAAGTTTTCCAATTACGACTAGCTATAAGATTTTTAAGGATCCATGCTAAGACAGACAGACTTTTCCTCTGGTCATCCGAGACAATTGATATGGGACCTTATCTACCAATTCGTGTATATTTGGCATCTGGTATTTATTATGTTAATTTAAAAGTTTGTGTCAAACGCCAGCTCAATCAAATATTTTTTCGTGCAAGTAGCAATAATTGGGCTTGTAAGTCTAGCTTGTTACCTTTTTATCCTTGAGATGAATCGGTTTTGGAAGTTTGTGAAAACGAGTAGCTTTCATTTGATTTCTGATCTTTTCGTTTTTTTTTCGAAAAGTGCTGGACAATTTTTCCAATTTCCTTTTGTCACTTTTTTGTCACTTAGTCCGACAGGCTCAACAAATGACATACTTTTTAAGTTGTTCTTGATATGTTGATAAGGTTTCTGAGTGACTTCAACCCGACGTGTGAAAGGTTGTCGTTTTTCGTAAACTGTAGCAACTGTAAACTGTAAAGAAAAAATTATCCGTTGGATCTGAATGGAACAAAAACTTCTCCAACTATCATTATAGCGTTGTCTGTGAATCCACAAAACGTTTTTTTTGTCGCATGAATGATGTATTGATCTTCAGACAGGGGTATTTCAATTTCAGTCGATGAAGTACATTTTTTTACCGTTACTAACAGACTAGCGGAGTCTACATGAATGTTCATATGTACAAAGGTTCTTTCCAATCCAATATTAACATTTCTTAGAAATTTCCTATTTCATCAAAAGTTTTTGTCATATTTGATACCACATATTCGTCTTTATCACTTTGGCTTGCTTTCAATTTTGAGTTGTTGAGTTGATTACACTGCAGCACTTTTTTTATTCACGTTTTGAGACTGGTTATTTACAGCAGGGCATTACGTAAAATTTCAACCCGGTATTCACAACTTTTTGACATTTGACAGCGTTTACATTTCTCACGAGTTCTGTCTATCTAGTGCTAGCGTGGGCATAAAATTTTCCTTCGGATGTCGTAGTTAGTTCTTCATGTTGTTTATGAAAATATCTCTAACCCATTTTTCTTCGCAGGATATGTCACATTTCATGGCCATTTTTGCTAAATTTTCCCAAATTTGTTTCAAGAGTTGTCTTCTTCTTGCGTAATTCAAAAGTAACAGTAAGATTTTTGATGATTTCGCGATTGAAACAGTGCCAAAATTCTGAAAAAAAAACATCCAAAACATTTTCGCCTTGGTGGAAGTTCAGGCGAATATACGCGTTCCTTCGTTTTCTAACGCCAGATAGAGCTTTAAGTGGATCTTTCTGTCGGCTTCTTCAATGCGTTTACCCTTGAAAATTTACTTTCCAATTTGATTCGTTAGTCTTCTAATTGCCATTTTTTGTTGGGTTCTAAGCTAAACGTTATGTTTTGGCGAGATGGACTCGCTCGTTGGTTCCTCCTCTATCTGTAGAGTTTCAGATTTGACCAAATCAAAAGGTTGAGAAGGTTTTCCATATCGATGTTTTCTCTTGCTATCAATGCTTGTTGAAACATGTCTCCCCAATTGCCCCGTGGAATGGGGGGCATTTGTATGACATTCCCAAAATGGAGACTAGATTAGTTTATAGAGTGCTGCGCCATAGTAAAATAGTCTAGTAACTAAACGAATACAAACTTGAACTAAATAAAAGTAAACCATACTATACTGTTCATATAAATTTTATGTTTTTTTTTAAAACAGAATAAGACTGACTTCGCTCACTCCAAAAGAGTTCGCTATCAATGTGAAGGTCAGATATGACATATTAATTCTTTAAAATAAGTATTTAAAGGAGACAATCACAACAAAAATCAAGCAAACCTGATCTGAGTCACCTAGAATTTCAAAAAGTCTATGTATCGGTCAGTGGCTTACGCAGAAATTTTTTGAGGGGCTGGCGGTTTTTCAGAAAACCGACAAAAAAAGCATTTTTGGGCACTTTTTGGAAAATTTTGACCAAAAAAAATTGAGTTTTTTTCGGCGCGGGCTCCCCCCTCAAAGTAGATATAATAGCGCCAAAGGCGCTTTTTGAAAGTTTTTGAGGTTGGTCAGTCAAAAATGGATGTCGTAAAGTTATACTAAAGGCGGACCCTTTGGAAAGTTCGGCAACCAGAATTGGGGGGGGGGGGGCGTTGAACCCCCCGAGTCTCCCACTCCCTCGGCACGCTACTAGTAATGAAAGTAAACTTAAAGGTGTATACTATTTGAGACGTCCCCCCGCCCGCGTGTTGAACACAGGCAGGTGCGTTGATACTTTAAGGGCATAGATATTGAATTGTGTTGCCTTTTTATCGACTTTCTCCTGCAGTTTGGGAAGCTCATTGTTCAGTCTATCAATTCTGGTGTATGTATCGTCGTCAGATTTTGCAAAATAATCGAACTTCGGACAATAGCAATACACTAATTTCATTGACGAAAGAATTTTGAGCGGTGTTAAATCATAGCCTTCAGCCGAATACAAATACGATAGATGGGTCTTTGAAACAACCACGCACCTCAAAAAAGATACTAAACAAAAAAGGGCGCCCAAATCAATTAAGACTCTTTCTTTTTTTTTATCAGAGACACCTGAAAATGGATCTATAGCTGGCGGTTTTAAAATTACTAAAAATTCATTTTGCCTGAAAACAATTTGATATGATTATTATTCATCCTAAGGACCCATCTATGATCTTTATACCTTCAGGCGTGTTGAAAATAACAACATCGGCATATTGGGAAATTTCTTTTTGCAAACCCTCTTTTATGTTTGAAATATTAACATTGCCGTTCGAAGAAGGTTGACTAACTGCGAAAAAATATATCCAAGTGAAATTTTTTGTGTTTGATTGTAATAATTCTCGTAGATATGTTTCACGTACGGCCAACCGTTGGGCGAAGGAAGTTGACCGAGAGTTGATCATGATGACCCTCAAATTCGTTTTGGAGTCAAGTTTTGAGCACCTTTCCATCAGACTGGCGGCGTCAGAGGGGTCCTGAAACCAACTGATTTCACCAAATTAATGAAAAAATGTTTCTTCTGAGAGCGGGAAGGCGGGGAAATTTTCAAAAAATGGAAAAATAAATTTTTCCATTTTTTAATAGCCCAAAAGAACAATTGATAAGTAAATCAATCTCAAAAGATTTCTTTTTTTTCATTTTTCATTTTTTTAAATTCCGTTTTTGGACATTTGCTGAAATGTTTTGACAGCAGGAAATGGTAATTATTCATAGTAACCAAGTTTTTTTGAAATTTTTTAAATTGATTTCGAAAAATCAACATAGTCCGCCTTAAGCAATTTAAAAAGGTTTCTGAAAATCCGCCCCCTTCGAGAAAATCCTAGATCTGCCCCTGCCAATATTATCAAAACCATTAATTTTGCATGTTGTTACCTTGTGAAAAAATATTGAGCACTTTCAGGAAGCTCCAAAAACTCACAACTTGCCCAGTGTTTATTTTGTAATAAGCACGGATTTCACGCAAAGCCTTCAGAACTCTAATGAACTAATACTACGTAATTTTGATCTAATCAGGAGCTCAAATCTTTCAAAGTGTCATCGCCTTATGGCTTGCTTAAAAAAGCTTCTTGTTTATGAGAACAATTTTTGCCTAAAACAATATTTAATTTGTTCAAATCATTTGAAACTAGAACAATATTTAATTTGTTCAAATAATTTGAAACTAGGAAGTCAAAATGAAAAATTTGCAAAAGCGTCATCCTTTGTCGAGCTTGCTTTACAAATCTAATAATTGCCAACCAATTCCAGCTGTAAACAAGGATATCCGATTACTGTGCAAGTAGAAGAGAATGTTCCGAAAATAGTCTTAAAAGTTACAAAAAAATGTTTTTTCAAATTAGTATCGTCTTTTTTGTTGCGCGGTGTGGTGAAAAATTATGACAAAAAAAATCTTAGGCAAATTTAACAGTCATAGTTTAACTTGAAAATAGTTTTTACAGAAAAATGAATAGAACAACGAAAAAATGATCATTCGAAAAAATTCAAGTTTTCAAAATTTTTCAAAATTTTTTCTGCTGAAAATTTTGAATCTGAGGAAGTTTTTCTTTCCCAAATTGACGCTAAGAACCTCCAAAAAATAATTGCACTCAAACAAAATTAAATTAGGCATTTTTTGTGGGCATAAAAATTAGGCTCACGGCTTAAATTAGGCATAAAAAAGCAATTGTAAGGCTGCATGCTCATCTTTGAATTTGACCAAAGCTTGGAATTTGACCAAAAACCAATTTCTAGGTACTTCAATGTCAATCGAATCACAACTGAAAGGGCTGTCAATAATACGATGTATCTCACGATATATAAAGATGATTGTTTGTGGAACCCGATTTTAAGGAAAACATAAAGAAAAAAAAGAAAAAACAAAGACAACAGAATACAAAGAACAAAAACCGAAAACTAAAAAATTACTTTTATTGAGCTGATAGATTTGAGTTTCGGCAAAACAAGTAAAACTGGAAAATAAAATTGATTTGTTTGCATGGTTTTAAACTTTTTGCGACCAGATTCGAATTATCAGCACGTGAAGTGCACTAAGGATTTGAGATTTCAAGGTTAATCATTTGTCATAGTGTTTTTAGTAGCTTTATTAATTTTCATTCTAAAAAAATTTCAAAATCGAAGCGTTGAATACGTTTCATTAGACCTGCTATCATATCGGTTGGATTTATTGCTTAAGTTTTCAAAAGCTCTTGAAATTATCCTTTCATCAGTCTATTTTGTTTAGAGTCAGCAAAAGCTCTGAAAATTTATTCAGCCTTATCAGATTTTTATAACTACTAACTGTAAAATGAAACCGTGAATTAAAATTCATTTCAGGTCATCTTATGTTCTGTATTTTTTCAATCAAATTGACAAAAGTTCTGAAATTCGGTCTTGAAACTTTGAATTCAATCTATAACCATGCTGTCCTATCGGCTTTTTCTTATCAATCTAATGTTTACAACGGCTCCAGGAACGAATAAATTTCAAAAAAACCTACGTTTTCAATCATGGAATGTCTTTTGCTTCCAGTTGTTACAAAATTTTGTGCAGATTGAAAGTTTGAATTAAAAATTAAAGTCAAAATTAGCTTCAATGAATCAAATTCTTAACGATTTTTTTGAAAATAAACTGAAAAAATTACGCCTAAAAGCTGCCATGACTTATGGTTTAACTATGCTTAATCAGTGTTTTTTTCTACAGCAAAATGTTGAGGTATGCTCATTAGCGGATATGGGGGAGATTCGACGCCCCCTGCTGACCCAAAGGGTCCTCCATGTGAACTATTTTGAGATATCCATTTTGGTAACGGACCCCAAAATGTTTCTAAAAGCGCTTTCGGCGCTAATGTAAACTCATTTTGAGGGGGGAGCGCGCGACAAAAAAACCGTAATATTTTGGTCAAATTTTTCCAAAAAAAGCCTAAAAACTTCTTTTTCGACCTGTTTTTTCAAAACTTTGCCTTTTTCAAAACTCTGCTGAAAATTTTGAATCTGAGGAAGTTTTTCTTTCCCAAATTGACGCTAAGAACCTCCAAAAAATAATTGCACTCAAACAAAATTAAATTAGGCATTTTTTGTGGGCATAAAAATTAGGCTCACGGCTTAAATTAGGCATAAAAAAGCAATTGTAAGGCTGCATGCTCATCTTTGAATTTGACCAAAGCTTAGAATTTGACCAAAAACCAATTTCTAGGTACTTCAATGTCAATCGAATCACAACTGAAAGGGCTGTCAATAATACGATATATCTCACGATATTAAAAGATGATTGTTTGTGGAACCCGATTTTAAGGAAAACATAAAGAAAAAAAAAGAAAAAACAAAAACAACAGAATACAAAGAACAAAAACCGAAAACTAAAAAATTACTTTTATTGAGCTGATAGATTTGAGTTTCGGCAAAACAAGTAAAACTGGAAAATAAAATTGATTTGTTTGCATGGTTTTAAACTTTTTGCGACCAGATTCGAATTATCAGCATGTGAAGTGCACTAAGGATTTGAGATTTCAAGGTTAATCATTTGTCATAGTGTTTTTAGTAGCTTTATTAATTTTCATTCTAAAAAAATTTCAAACTCGAAGCGTTGAATACGTTTCATTAGACCTGCTATCATATCGGTTGGATTTATTGCTTAAGTTTTCAAAAGCTCTTGAAATTATCCTTTCATCAGTCTATTTTGTTTAGAGTCAGCAAAAGCTCTGAAAATTTATTCAGCCTTATCAGATTTTTATAACTACTAACTGTAAAATGAAACCGTGAAATAAAATTCATTTCAGGTCATCTTATGTTCTGTATTTTTTCAATCAAATTGACAAAAGTTCTGAAATTCGGTCTTGAAACTTTGAATTCAATCTATAACCATGCTGTCCTATCGGCTTTTTCTTATCAATCTAATGTTTACAACGGCTCCAGGAACGAATAAATTTCAAAAAAACCTACGTTTTCAATCATGGAATGTCTTTTGCTTCCAGTTGTTACAAAATTTTGTGCAGATTGAAAGTTTGAATTAAAAATTAAAGTCAAAATTAGCTTCAATGAATCAAATTCTTAACGATTTTTATGAAAATAAACTGAAAAAATTACGCCTAAAAGCTGCCATGACTTATGGTTTACCTATGCTTAATCAGTGTTTTTTTCTACAGCAAAATGTTGAGGTATGCTCATTAGCGGATATGGGGGAGATTCGACGCCCCCTGCTGACCCAAAGGGTCCTCCATGTGAACTATTTTGAGATATCCATTTTGGTAACGGACCCCAAAATGTTTCTAAAAGCGCTTTCGGCGCTAATGTAAACTCATTTTGAGGGGGGAGCGCGCGACAAAAAAACCGTAATATTTTGGTCAAATTTTTCCAAAAAAAGCCTAAAAACTTCTTTTTCGACCTGTTTTTTCAAAACTTTGCCTGTGGCGCTGAAATTTTGGCCAATACAGGGTCTTTGGGAGAGCTCGGAAAATTAGTTTGGTCGACCTGAAAAAAGGCTATCTTATCTTATCTTATTCAAGCTATCTTATCTGATTAATTTTCACTTCAATTTGCCAAAATCCTTTAGGAGTTGAAGCAAAGAGCAAATTCAAAAATTGGTTTAATCTAATTTTTTTTCTTTAATTTCAGAACTAATGATGCTAACAAATTTTATACTCTCATGTAAGACATAAAATTCGGCATTACGAGGCCAAGCTGTGCACTGGATAGGCGCACATTTTTGTATTTGTAGATTCCTGGATTCCAGAGACAAATTTTAAAACATGTTCCAAAGTGTAAGTGGAATCCACTCACAAAACTGCCGTGAGTTCCGCGCACAAATTTCTGCAAGGTAAAGTTACTCAGCACATTAGTTTTTTGAGGATTATGCAACGAGCGAATATAGATGGTTGGTTCGGATTCCGCAAATGTAAAATGATTCCGCAAAAGTAAGTGAATTCCGCTCACAATTTGCTGAAATTGCTTACAGTTTTCGGAATCCGCTCACAATTTACGGATTCCAATTTTAGTTTGTCGATTCCACTGGTAGTTGTAGATTCAACGACACCTTAAGTTAACTAAACACATATTTTTTTATTTGTTCTTGGATTCCACAAACTGATCCAGATTCCGCAAAATTTGTTGCGGATTCCACAAATTTTGTTGCGAGTTCCACAAAGTTGCCTGTTTTTGAAGCGATTTTGAGCAATGTAGCGTTTTAGCTATTTGCCCATGGAATCCAAACAGCAAAGAAAAGGTATGAAATAGAGCAATGTTGGGGAGTCCGCTAACAATTCACAAAATGCACAGTGAGGCCTCGTAAGGAGAAAACAATCATAGGTCAAGGTAAAACTATCCTGCCCCATGTCTTTTGTCACAGGTTCTTAAGCCTCCTTTCCTTATTTTTAAGACTCTATTTGACTTTAATTTGTAAGATTCTTGAATTATTTTAAAAATAATTTAAAATATTGCCAACGGGGCTTTTCTTCTCTGATATAGCAATGGTTAAAAGGATTTGAGAAAGAGTTTGTCATAATTTTTTTCGGGCGTCTGTTTTGTTTTCCCATTGAATTTATCAAGGACTTTTATCCCATTTAAAATCATTTTTTTTTATTTTGTGCCTTCTTTGGTTTTACTATCAAAAAATTCATAGAGTTTGAAACCATCGAATAATCATTAAATCGAGCTCAATTGTAACCATAAGTCAAATTTACATGAAACTTGAATCATAAGTGAAACTATTACATTGGGTGTGTTTTTTTGCGGTAGTCAAAACAATTTTTTTTCATCTTTTCAAGTCAACTGTATTATCGCCTGTTTTTTTTTGTTGCAGCTATAACAAAAAATTTTCTGATCGCCTGTATTTTTTTGCTTCAGTAATAAAGAGTTTTCTAAAGTTTCTTGGAACATTAAGCTTTGAATAAATCAGGAATTTTTTTCTATTTTCAGTTTTAACAAAAGCTTTAAAAACTAGTAAAAAAATCAAAGTAGAGCTACTTTTTTGCAGAAATAATTTTGAAAATTTTTCTGCCTTCAGATAAGTATTTCACTCATGTAGAAATAAATTTTCAAGGCTCATTCTTCCATAATCAATTTGCTCTCTTGATATATGGGCACGAAATTACACTAAAATTTGAAAACTCCATATCGGTTTTTCTGGATACTGGGAAAATTTTTCGAAAAAATGTTTAATGTCGTTCGTTTTATTATAGCATATTACTCTACTTTTGACTAGGAAAATAAATTAAAAAAATGATTTTTGCAGAAATTGTTTTGAATATTTTTGGGAAGTTTTTTATTTTAAAAGTTTTAATGTCGTTCGGCGGATTACGACTGAATTCCCATAACATGGCGGCATATCACTCAATAATAAATCGCGCGATATCAACCTGTTGATTTTTTGTGGCAAATGTTTATGGTTGAAAATCAAAATAGGCCTGCTCGCTCACCTTATTTCTTCGAATTTAGACAAAAATTCAAAAATTTTGAACGGGTTTTTCTCGACACGGAGAAAAAATTTAAGTGTCGTTCAAATCACTACTGAAAATTTTTTCTACGATATTGAATTGACCGATGACTATTTGTGACACCTGATTTTTCGTGGAAAACTAAAAGAAAAAACTATAAGATTCCAATGCAAAGTTCTTCCCCATTTGCAATGGTCGGAACAATAAAAGTTTGTTCAATTCATCTTATAAAAATAATGTGCACTTTTTTGACGTGGATGTAGTTTGCATGCGTGTTCTTCACTTTGTTATGATTGAAATTTTTTGTTTTTATTATTGAAAATGGGGAGGAACTTTGTATTCGGGCGTGTTTTATGTTTTTTTTTCTTCTTCTTTTTGTTTTTCACACAAAAAAATCAGGTAGCACAAAAATAGTTGGACAAGGCTGAGTGATATATCATAATAAAGCCCTTTCAGTCGTGATTTGAACGGCATCAAAAAAAATCTTCCCTGTGTCGAGAAAAAACGGTTTGAAATTTTTGATTTTTGGTCTAATTTCGAGAGAGTGAGCAGGCTTACATTAGCTTATTTATGCTTACTTCAGGCCTAGAAAATTTATTTTTATTCTAATGAATTAGTTTTTGGAGTTTTTAGTTTCATCTTAGCAATCGAAAACTTTAAAAATTTGGGGAAAAAAATTTGAAAATTAAAAAAAAATTAATAAAGAATTTGTTTGTACTTTTCAAAGACTGGTCGGAGCATTCTGTGCTACTTGCAAAGTAACCGATTATCCTTGTTACTATTTGAACTGTTTACCAGAGTGGTTTTTTTACAGAGAAATACGAGGAAAGTGTGTGTCTTAAAATAGCCTCTTGAGCCGTGATTTTGGTTCCAGAAAAAATAAAAAAGCGACTTCTTCTAAAGCAGAAAAAAACGGCTGCAGGTTTTGTTTTGTCGACTTATTTAACATGGGAGAGTCAAATGGGAGAGTGAAAATGGAATAGTGAATTGGATGAATTCACTCGAGCCCTAATTTTTCCTGATTTTGTTAATGAAACTCGCCCTCTATCTTCAACTCGAATTTTGAAGCAAACCGCAAATTTTATTGCCACATTTCGTCCCTCACACATTTCGTCCTTCAGATCCCTGACAAATTTTACCCCTCAAAACTTAAATTAAGAAAGCGGCGATTAATTCATTGTGTAATGACTTGGGGCGTAATAACTTGTAATAACTTTTTGAATCTAGTTAATTTTGTAATAACTTAGTTAATTGTAAACCCTGTTTTCAGCCATTAAGAAGGTCGAGAGCGAGATGCTAAATTCAAAAAATAACTATACGAGGTAATTTCGGCTATATTCATTGCTTACCTGTAGCATTTTCAGTCCTTTTGGAAGTGAATACTTCGGGTGATTTATTGGAGAATGAGGGTGAATTCGTGCTGGATAGTCTATCCATGGAGTATCGATGCACTTTTGACCTTCAGAAAGTAATTCAGCCTTCGAATTATCGTTGCGTTGTTGATCTTCAGGAAAAATTTCCATATCTTCCCTTTTTATGCTGACATGATCAATAAAAAGTGTCTGTAAACAGATAAAAAATGCTAATATATAAGCCAAAATAACAACCGTTTTAGCACATTGAACCGATAATTGTTTCCGCAAGAACTTTTTCATGAGCACAACCATGTTTTTTGTTCGAAAATGATTTGTTGAGACACTTCAACAATTGAACTGCAATCAAAATCAAGACCGAATGGCTATTCAATCAGAACTACGTTTTTTTTGTTTCAAATATGAATAAAATTTCTATAGTTTCATGTTTTTCTTTACGTTATACTGCTTGTATTATATGAAACAATACCTTTGTAATGTTTTAATGCTTTTGCTGTGCAGTTATATACACATCCGACAGTTTTACTTAAGACAAACGGTTTTTACTATTAAAAGGTTGCATTGAGCGCAAAAAGTATTGGTCGAGTAGTTTCTTTAGTTTACTTTAAGATAAAAATACTCTCGAACAAATTGAAAAGTAATCACAATCTCGAGCTTCAGCGAGCACAACGGCAAACTGGTTCAAACACTATCTATCAGCAACCATGCATTAACTGGTAGTTACATTCGGTGTTAATTATCAGAACTTTGATAAGCCATCAGGGACAATAGGAGCCACTAGGACAAAGTGTGTGTAAGCCATGTCAATAGCTTCGAAACAACGCTCCCTTCTAGCATTTGATAACTGGAACACAGAAAGTATATAATTGTCATTACTAGCACCGTTGATACTCAAGGTCAAGAACTATAACTATACTCCTTTTCCCCCCAGTGGCAAGCGGGGCAACTAGCCGAACAAGATCATTTTAATGTTCCCCCTAGAATCTTTTTTTTTGTTCTTCTAGAATTGTTTCTTGTTCCTGTTCGTCTCTTACAAGCGCATATCTCTCATACTTTTATTACTGAACTTCCGAATTTGTCAAAGTTTTGAAGAATTTTTACGTCAAAAAGTTTTAAAAAATCAAATAAAGTTCTGAAACATCTGTACGTTATAACTAATAGTGAAGTAGCAAAGGCTTTCTCAGGGAATTAACTGGATCAAATTTTTTGAATCGCTATCACTCCTTCGGTTTTAATAAATCGGGTTTGCGCTTTCGGCTGTATTTATCCGATCAATAAGTACGCATTGCGCATAACCGTTTTCAGTTTTGCGATGATTGCTTTTCAGCCCGGGTCGAGTTCCGCGACTAATTTTGCGACCAAAATCCTTTGTCTGGACAGCGTTTTAAGTCTTGGACAATCTGAGGAAATACCGTATCTCGTTCGCGGTATCATAATCGAAAAACTAGTCGCGACGATCAAAAAATTAGTCGCGATTGTTGAAAAATTAGTCGCGGACTCGGTCTTCAAATGGCGTGTCTCAGTCGCGATGGTCGAAACGTTAGTTGAGGCAGAGACCAAAAATTAGTCGCGGCATGGTAGAAAAATTAATCGCGGCAAGCTAGAAAAATTAATCCCGGTATAGTCGTAAAAGTAGTCGCGATATGGTAGAAAATTTAGTCGCGGCATGGTCAAAAAAATAGCCTCAGCTTGGTCGAAAAATATGTCGCGGGCATGGTCGAAAATTGTTTCGCTAAATAATTGAAAAACAGTCATCAAATAAATAAAAACCTTGAACGACAAACATCAAGTGTTTACTTTCATGCTTAAACTATTTTATTTTTTATTTAAAACTTATCGGAACTTTTCGCTTGCAAAACTATAAAACAGCCGCAGATAGCAAAAAAACAGTATGAATATTAGTGTGCAGTTATCTAGACCTGCGTATTTGGTGATCATACACACGACCACCACAAGAAGGCCCACAAATGGTCCCAAAATCAACTAGAAGCATTTTTGGGGCTACAAAAACTTCGCAACCAAAAACAAAACGCTAGAAATCTATCAGATTAAATAAAATTTTTTTTCAAATAACAAATAGTCATCAAATAAACTGAAACAGTGAATATAAAACAATATGAAAAAACTAAGTCTATACTAAATACTAATCATAAAAGTTTCATACATTTTGCAAAAGTGGTGCCATCGAATTTTCGAAGAACTTTTTTTTGTTTTGGCATAAAATTCGGTGTATCATGCTTAATAAAAAATAAAAATTTTTTGTCAAAAAAAATGCTAACCTTACAATTTCCATACATGGAAATTGTATGACTAGTATTTTTTTGATGGCGACAACAATTTTTTTCCTAGTAATTTTAAAATTGCCCCAAAATGTTCTTTTATTTTTTTCAACCGCAAATCGAAATTTGTACTCAAATAAACATTATCCAAAAAAATACATTTTTTTTGTGCATAACGCAGTCCTGGAAACAAACATTTGTTGTGCATAACGCAGTCCTGGATACACTAAAGTTGAATTTTTTCCTTTTTTCTAATTAATTTTTTTTTCAAAAACGCTGAAAACTTCTATTTTGTTTTGCATGGCATGTTTTTGAATGCCTTCATCAATGTCTGATAATTTAAAAATTTAAATTTTGAAAGTGGTCATCGTAGAAAATTTTTACCAAGTTTATAATTTTGAAAATTTCGTTATTTCATTTGTGTAAGACAGAATTAAGACATTTCATGGCGTTTCTAATGCACTTTTAATGCAATACGGGCAAACCTTCGGTTACTCTGCGTTTGAGAAACCAAGGTTGAGGTCACTTGTGTTCGGTTACAAACACAACGAAATTATTTGAGAAATTAAAATGTAAAAATATAATATTTTTGTTTATGGAAAAATGCTAGTCATGCAATTTCCATATATGAAAAATCACTAACCATAGACCTTTCATGCAACTTTTTTTACTTATGGAATTGCATAAAAAATCTAACTAGACTAGCTTTTTTCCATATATGAAAATTGTATGAGTTGCATTTTTGGTCAACCCGGATTCTGAAAAAAATTTTCTTAAGTGTTTTTTATTTTTCAAAATGTTTTTGTTCGTTACTCAATTTCTTGGACAAATTATGTCTATTAATTCTAGATCATCAATTTTTTTACACCTTTGCACAGATTTCTGTAACACCGTTTATAAAAAACAGCGACTTCAAAATGAGACAAGAAAAAAACTACTTCAATTGAGACAATTTTATACTACAATTTACAAAAGTATGAAATATGATGTCAGTCTGTTCAAATTTTCAGTATCTTTGAGCAGAACAGCTTCCGTTCAATCCTTTGCAAAGAATTCTTTCATTGTATGTATTAAAGCTTCAACTCAATTTTTGACCTGCAGTTCAACTGTAAATGTTCTACCATCTGCAATGGAAATCTCAAAAACAAACAACAGCTGCGCGACTGCCTTGCAGCTAACACGGCGAAAAGTTTGATCAAAACCAATTGACTGAACTCAACTTTCGCGTAATTTTCGTTCAGTGCCACTGCTCGAAGGGCCATGAAAGACTATCACGTCCGGATGAAGAAAATCAAAGGCAGAGTTTTTGCCAAGTTCAGTCATATTTTCGCAAATTTCCTCAAAAAATCTCTCGTTTTCTTGAACAAATATTTTTGTTAATTTTAATTGCAAAGTAAACTGTTTTGATACTTGATCAAAAATTTATCTTATTCGGCAAGAAGATTCTTCAATTATCAAAAACGAGGAGGATTTTTTTTTATTTATGTTCCAATTACGTGATATATCGATGCACATAAAAACTCCTTTCACCTTTTCAAAAGTTAAAATAATATCTGTTTTAAAGTTATTTGCTTTCGCCATCCCTTGAACTTCCTGTCGCGAGTTGTTTTTTTCCCTGTGAAACAGCGTTTCCTAAAAATCTTTTAAAAAATGGCTTGCTTTATTATCTCTTAATTCGATAATCTATTCGTAAAGCGCGCCTCTTCTGGTTTTAAGGGGTCGAGTCTAGAAAATAAATTGATTTTGCCTCATAGTAAAATTTGAATTGTCGGAAGAACATTAATTTTCTGTTTGTTTTAGTTGTTTTGTATTGCAATTTTAGAAAACAGTTTTTACAATAATTCGAAACTTTTCCGTTGTTTGAAATTTTAATAACCCTGTTTTTATAACTTTCTGAACCTTTTTCGAACTGATTGTGTTAGAATCAATGGTTGAAGTTTTATGTTAAGTTTGTTCAGGTACCATATATTGCGTAGTTCTAATTTCAGCTCGTGCTTTTTCATCACATAAATGTGTTGTTTTACTCGTGTGCTATTCGTAAACTTTCTTTGCTCGACAATTTTGTTTTTCTACAGATTGAATATCATTGGGAATATACCTTGACATTTTGGCAGATGAATTTTTTGAAATTTATTTCACTTTTTTGCTCGATTTAGTGGCTTTCAGTTCAAAATCGATCGACTAGTCTCCTATGCCTTAATTGTTTGTCTTACATGTGATGCGATGCTTCGGTGCGCCGTTGCGTGAAAAATTTTTGTAAGCAAGGTAAAAAAAATTGGAAGTTGTAAGATATATAACTGTTTTTTTCATAGAAAAAATTAATATCAACGCCACAATTTCAATATAAACAGACACAATAATCAACAGGGATAGCCGGTTGCTGTGCATGTAGCAGAAAAATTCCGACAACCATCATAAAAAAAATACAAAGAAAAACTTCTTTCCGAGTTTTGCTGTTGTAAGTTCGTGTATTCTTTTCAGCATTAGCAAGATTTCCTAAGACGTGAAACTGGGAATTAGATTAATTAGTCATGGCATTTTATTTATGTAATTTTTGCTTGGATTTAAGATTTTTAGTTGATTTAGCTTTATGCATTCGTGATAGGTGCTCTTTTCTGATTCCAATTTAAGCAATTGCTGACTTATAATTTTAAAGAGAAAAAATTCAGCGATTCTATCCAAACTTCAACGAATGTTCTTTGGATTTAATTTCGAAATGATTCATTATCAAAAATAAAATTTTTGGTGCGCGACCAGTTTGCCGAAAAATTTTCAACTGTTCTTGAAGTGATTCAACTTGTCAAAGTTATTTTTTTTGATATATGAAAATTCCATCGATGAAAAATTGGCCTAGAAAATTAGGCCTTGCAAAAATTGGCTAGAAAAAAAAAGAATTAGAAAAAATTTTTTTCTTTGCAGAAAATGTTTTGAGTTTTTTTGAAGTTTTTTATTTAAAAAACGGCGCAAAAACTTCTAACAATAATTTTACTGAAGTAGAAGTAAAAATTCAAGGCTCATTCTTCTATTATAAGCCTGCTCACATGCTTTATTTGCACGAAATTAGACTTAAACTCAAAAACTCCCAGCCTGTTTTTCTCGAGACTGGGAAAACTTTTTGAAAAAGTTTTAAGGTCGTTCGGATTACGAC